GAGTGGAGAAATAACCAGAGGAGTGACCCTATTTTAACTAGGGTCATTGGCTATACAGCGTGTGTCAATAAAAACGCAGGATTCAAAGCGATTTTTTTTGTGAGAAAATTATGCTACTGGTGTGCCTAATTTGATAAGAAGTTGATTGTCCATAATTTCATCTTTGACAAGATTTTTGTTTGGTGGAATTTGGACTTTTGGTTCAAAAGTTATGACAAGTTTTGTGAAGCCCTTCTGAAGCGGGTTGGTCTGATTCAATGACCTTAACACAACGACCAGTTATGTACAATGCAGGTATGCATTGAAGACAATTAAACCAGAACAAAACTTTCTTTGAAACAACTGATGATAAGTATCACTTAAATTTAATAACTGGACTATCATTGTTTCAAAGCATCATGAATGTCGTCTCTGACATATCAAATAATAAATAATATCAGACTTGCACACATATCCTTCTTTGTGATCCACAAATACTTTCACCTGTACTGAATTCAAACCTTTCATTAGGTATGTGTGATTTCACAAATCAGACAAGCTTGGAATTTATAACCCTTCTTCAATATACTCTATCTCTGGACAGGATTGTCCAAATGAGATGGGATAAAAAGCATAGTGAAGAGAAGGAAAGGTACTTTGAAAAGAGGGTTAACATTATGATGAATAGGGGTGGTTTATATTCTTAATATTTTTGTTTCTAATCCTGCGTTTTTATTGACACACGCTGTATATAGAACGTGGTCATCATCCCGACAAACAACAGAAGCGATCTGAACATCGTGATGTCCTCTCGATCTTGTGAGATTGGGACAAGTTGGTGTTTCGGGATGGTGTCCTCTTTCGACAACACCAAGAACAAGATGGTGATAAGGTTTTTTAGCTGCTCCTCCCAAAGACCTATCATGACATGGTTTTCAAGTCTCTTCAAGATGAGGCTGGTCATTTTGGTCGAGAGCGCACATTGGATCTTGTTCGTTCTAGATTCTTTTGGCCTCACATGGCAGAGGATATTGACAACAGAATACGGACATGTCCAAGGTGTATTCGGAGAAGCTTCCACCTGCTGCTGTACGGATGGCACCTCTTGTTAGCATTAAGACCAGTGAACCTATGGAACTTGTCTGCATTGACCATCTTTCTCTGAAGTCGTCTGGCGAAGACCAGTCAAGCATTCTGGTCATCACAGATCATTTCAGTCAGTATGCACAGGCATTTGCTGTCTCTAATCAGACCGCAAAGACTACAGCTTGAGTCTTGTTCAACAACTTCATAGTGCATTATGGATTTCCAGGTCGACTACACTCCTACCAGGGAAGGGGTTTCGAATCAGAGGTTATCAAGCAGTTGTGTCAGGTAACTGGCATAACTAAAAGCAGAACCACGCCGTATCATCCCCAGGGCAAAGGCCAAGTGGAAAGGTTTAATAGAACCCTCTTGGAGATGCTTGGTACATTGCCCGAGGATGGTTATGGTTATGGTTTATTTTTTCACATCATAGCATGATAGCACATCAACATAATAAACAGGAAACTATGTAAAGAATGACAAACAATGATACGAGGGATCAACGTTTTCATGTAGTTTTTGAATTTTTTCATTGATCTAAAGATAGGCATTGGTTTGAGGTGGTTCCACAATAGAGGTCCCTGGTTTCTGACAGTCGATAAGTAAAGAGATGTTCTAACTTTATGGAGATGAAGAATTGAGGCTGACCTTGTTTTATTAGAATGGATATCTGAGTTTTTGTTAAAGGGAATGTACATCATTGGTTTTTGATGTAATTTTCAGAAATGAACTATTTGAGGGGTTAGTATACATAGATCAAATATTGTTACACTGACATTTTTGAAGTTTTGTGTTCGAAAAGGTTGGAAAAACCAAGAAAAACAAAAATGTTTAAGTAGTCTGGTTCCCTGACTCCACAAAAGATAAAATGGATCAATTTATAGATTATGGAAAATTGTAAGGCACGGGAACCAGTCTAGCTGGCCTGCACCCGTTCATGAAACATGTAACCAATAGCAAACAAAATTTGGACCGAAAAAATGGTTAATTTGGAGCAGTAGTTGAAAAATAGTTAGGTTTTTCCAACGCTGGTCGGCCGACCACCGTTGGAAATGTATACAAAAATACCATTTTCTTGAAAATGACTTCACACCAGGTGCCATAATTTTACAAGATGCTTGAGACTGTCATTTACCAACATCCTAGTAAGGTATTTCGTAAAAACTTGGTAGTTTTATTTTTCGATGTTTGCAAATGTTGTATATTCCCTTTAAGAAGGATATGAAGGCTGCATGGCAAAAATATCTGGCGCCTCTGGTTCATGCTTACAACTCAACAAGGAATGATGCTACTGGTTTCTCACCATACTTCCTCATGTATGGTAGACATCCCAGGCTTCCTGTTGATGTTGCCCTTAATCTGGAACCAAGAAATCCACCAAAAGGATCCCATAGCGCCTATGCTGACCAACTTCGAGAACGCCTGTCTGCTGCCTATAAGTTGGCCTCAGCACATGCAGGCAAATGTGCTTTGAAGAACAAAACACAACATGATCTAAATCTACGGGCTGCAGTGCTTCATCCAGGTGACCGAGTCTTGGTGAAGGTAGTTGCACAAACAAGCAACTACAAAATATCGGACCTTTGGGAGGAGAGCGCATACAGGGTAGTAAAACAGGTTAATCCTGATATCCCCGTGTATATGGTGAAGCAAGAACAGGGTGGAGGTTTGACTTGAACGCTTCATAGGAACCTGCTCTTGCCATTTAATACCTTGCCCCAACCAGTTCCAACAAGTCCACCAAAACAGTCCCCATCATCAGAGGATGACAATTCTGAACATTATACAGGTGATGTAGGTCAGTCATTGGAGGATGACGGCAGAGAGAATACCCTGCCTCAAAACGCCCCTCATGACAAACCCCAGAAACAACGACCGCGACGACAAGTCGAACCCCCAGATCGGTTAGAATTCTCCAATGCCCAGATTGTTCACGTACCAGAATGGAAAGAAAAAGCAAATTTTCTGTATTTTATTTTGGAAGATAAGCCATGCGAACGAATGAAAGAAATGTGTCTTGAAGCAATAATTGTATTTAAGTTATGCAGATGAAATCATGTATTCAAGCTCATTATTTGTAAAAGTTCCGTAATTTGTTCGTCAATTCTCTCAAAGGTTTACATCTGCTTATTGATTGCAGTAGCAATTACGATAGCAAAGTTTCTGTATTTTATTTTGGAAGGTAAGCCATGCGAACAAACGAAAAAAATGTGTCTTGAAGCGATAATTGTATTTAAGTTATGCAGATGAAATCATGTATTCAAGCTCATTATTTGTAAAAGTTCCGTAATTTGTCAATTCTCCCAAAGGTTTACATCAGCTTATTGATTGCAGTAGCAATTACGATAGCAAAGTTTCTGTATTTTATTTTGGAAGGTAAGCCATGCGAACAAACGAAAAAAATGTGTCTTGAAGCGATAATTGTATTTAAGTTATGCAGATGAAATCATGTATTCAAGCTCATTATTTGTAAAAGTTCCGTAATTTGTCAATTCTCCCAAAGGTTTACATCAGCTTATTGATTGCAGTAGCAATTACGATAGCAAAGTTTCTGTATTTTATTTTGGAAGGTAAGCCATGCGAACAAACGAAAAAAATGTGTCTTGAAGCGATAATTGTATTTAAGTTATGCAGATGAAATCATGTATTCAAGCTCATTATTTGTAAAAGTTCCGTAATTTGTCAATTCTCCCAAAGGTTTACATCAGCTTATTGATTGCAGTAGCAATTACGATAGCAAAGTTTCTGTATTTTATTTTGGAAGGTAAGCCATGCGAACAAACGAAAAAAATGTGTCTTGAAGCGATAATTGTATTTAAGTTATGCAGATGAAATCATGTATTCAAGCTCATTATTTGTAAAAGTTCCGTAATTTGTCAATTCTCCCAAAGGTTTACATCAGCTTATTGATTGCAGTAGCAATTACGATAGCAAAGTTTCTGTATTTTATTTTGGAAGGTAAGCCATGCGAACAAACGAAAAAAATGTGTCTTGAAGCGATAATTGTATTTAAGTTATGCAGATGAAATCATGTATTCAAGCTCATTATTTGTAAAAGTTCCGTAATTTGTTCGTCAATTCTCTCAAAGGTTTACATCTGCTTATTGATTGCAGTAGCAATTTCGATAGCGAGATGTACCCACTTATGTTTTTCGTTCAGTCTAGTAATTTTCAAGAATATATTCTTTAATGTATGTGTATGTCTAGGTCTAGTTCCGAGATTTGTCAAGCTTTTGTTCCGTTTTTTTTGTACGTGTATTAATCAATCCTTCTTTTTAAGTCGTTTAGTTAAGTATACACATGTACCCTGATAGTTATATAATAATCGTTCTTGTAAATTTAATTGAAAGAAGCCTAGATATTGAGTACACTGTGACCGACTTCCACTACAGATATGAGATATCGCTGATTGCTAACGGCTGAGGCAATAAAACATTCCACAGGAAAAACTGATGTTTTCTCTTCACTTGCCCATTTTCTTGCTGAACCCACATTGAATTGAATATAAATATTCAATTTCCCTTTTCAAATTGTCCTCCCCGCCCCAACTCCCCCCCCCAAAAAAAAATGCGCATCGATTAAAATTCAATACCTTATTTTCTTTCAACACTCGGTCCGAGTGTTCTCGGAACAAAAGTCCTAAGACACCAACAATTTACCTCGCCTTTATACTGCCTTTATTTGGCTGAATACCTTTCATATACAGTTATAAAGATGAAATTGCACTAATAAACTCAACACCCATAACATTGGAGAAGTATGTGGTTGAAGTCAATGGGCGGAGCAACAATTTGAAACACACTCATTTCAATAACATAAGTGTTTGAAGAACCAAGGAAACCTTTGCTTATTGATTCCACAGGCGCCCCCCCCCCCCCCCCCCCCATTGAAAAACTTCATAGCTTACATAATCCTTGCCAGCCTAACGCACTCAATTTTCACACACTTACACTGACTCGCATTAAAACAACATTTCTTTATGTAACTGAAATATCAAAAAACAAAATATAAAATGTATGCATATTATACACAGACCTTTGTACACTCACTTTGAGCTTATAAATCTAGGAATGAATTTCAAACTGTTTCAATGTTAGTAGCAACTGTTTTAACCTTGTTTTTCAGTTGAGCTGTGAAATTGGAACAATCTTATAAATGACTTTAAAGTTGGCATTTTAAAAGCCTTTTATGTTGGAATGTGCACAAATTAAGCATCAGTCAAACAAAAAGAGCAACTCATTGCTCACTACAGAGTACCTTTTGCCTCAAAAAATTTCAGTTCAACACTGAAAGTCTATTTCTCTCAAAATTACTGACGTTAATATGCACCACTTTTTTTATATTGGACTCTTAATGACATTTAAATAGTTACTTGGAGTTTGCACAAGAAGGTTGATTTCAAGCAGAAGTCTAACTTGTAAATTCTTTGTTGACAGAAGTTCAATTCAAACCAACATTCAATTACATTATTCAAATTAATTAATTATCATATTCATGATAGAGTGTCATATGAAGTCCTGACATTTTTGACAGTCCTATTTGCTTGGAGGTTGCCACGGTTACCTGGTATTTTCATTCTCTCTCGACCTGCGCAATGCGTGCTGGAAGTAGTGCAACCATCTCCTCACAAAGTTCATACTCGGCCTAAAACTCGGCAAAATGAAAAAGTAAATAAAAGGAAACGCAATTTTAACAGACAGTTTTATCTTTGAATATTCTGTTTTCTTGCAGACATTATCTTGGCACACTGTATATATTGTTTACATGGACCATATGAAATGTAATCCGTAAAAGCAGTTTATAAGGTTCATACAAATGAAAAACAAAAATTGGAATCCATGTCAGGGTACCAGTCGTGAGAAAATGTTCCCTGGAATCAGAAGAGCCAGTTTTACAAGGCCAATCAGAAACCAAATTGCAGACAGTCATAACCAATCAGATTCATTCCACTATGCCTGCTATTCTAATACCAGTAGGGTTGACAATAAGTTGCATGTTTTTCTTTCATTTTCATGTGAAAACATACCTGCATTTTCTCCATAGCATCTGGGTGGCTCTTACAGTAATCTACCACAAACTTGTAATTTCTTAAGCTGGGAAAAAATGGTCAAAAAAACAAGTTAACAGTAAATAAACATCTGATATAATTTTTCTAGATATCGAGACAAGACACAATTTAACTTGTCCCAAAACACAGACTATTTCCAATAAATGAAACTTAACATTCCGAAGGCCTAATTTTCAGTAAAAAGAAAGTGGTACTTGAACAATGCAGTTTTACATTCTGGAAAAAAAAATAAAAAATTTTAACATTTGGCACAACAAATTAATGTCAACATTGCTATCAAAAAGTATTACCTTGTGGACAAGTTTTCTATTCTCTGTTCTGGGTTGGGCGTGATGATCTTTGAATGTCTACCAAGAAAAACAGTATATATTCACATGTAGAAAAAGAAAAGTCTACATACACATATGAAGACATGTCTCCGGTATACTACCGAGGTAACACAATGTTAAACGCAAATTATACAGTTGTTGATTGGGAAAACCAGTGGTGTTCTTACAATCTAGCTTTGCAGAAATACGCCACCAGAGCCGGTCTCATGACCTCCTCCTCAAGCGTCGACGGCATCTTCTGTTCAGCGTCTCTTAACGAATCTAAAACATGAACGACAAGACAGGTGATTGGTTGCCTGTGAAAGCCTCAACTGGTTGAACGATTGGCGGGGCTAAAAGATAGTTGAGGGGGGCCAAGGTGTCGGGCAATAGTGTGGTAAAGAATGTTGCACTGTCAACATTTCGGAAATGTAAGGAATTTTTTTTTTTTCAAAATATCAAAATAAACTTAGGGAGAAATGCTGTAAAACAAAAGAAGAGTAAAATTTGGCAAAAAACACTGAAAAATAATCTCCACCAAAATAGTCTAACACATGACTTAGAAATAAGTGGGAGGCTTTTGAATGCAGAAAGGCTATAAAACTTACCGAGGAACTGTTGGAAGTAGTCCAAACTTTGATTTATTCTGAAATACACAAAAAAAAATCTTGTCTGTTAAAAAACAAAAAAAATTCCCTTTCACACAACTGCACACGTCAAAAGAACATCTGTTTGAAAAAAAAATACCTTAAAAAAAATAGCCGAAACACTTTTACACAAAAACAATGGTTCTTATAAAAAAATGTTTATAATCAATCAAAAGATGCGATTTTGCATTCCCCCTCCCCCCCCCCCCAAAAATTGTATCATTAACAAAAACTTTAAAAATTAAAATAGTTACAACTGTCTTGTGGTGCAAGCTGCTAATATATCAATTCATACTTACAACAGGTTGATTTTATTACAGACGTGGGTCGTTGGTGCAACCCCAGAAATCTCAGCTATGGCCAGCTTCAAATCCATCATTTCACTGCAGAGAAAAAGTCAGTTGTGTTAAAACAAATCAGTGACTTCTCTATCATAACTCTGTAATGGATGCCGTCTATAACTGAACCTTCAACCTTAAAAATCAACCCATTACTGTTAACAGCAACACCCAGTTCAAAACTTGTTATTCAAGTGCGTTTTGTGCAAACTTTACGTGTTACTTTTTTGTTCACTGGACTATGGAGTTGTTTTTGTGCGACTGTGACAGTCATCTTATGTGTGAAAGTCACACTCCTGATTGACTTTAATCAGGGGAACTTATTTCCGATGTTTGGAATAAGTAAGTTTGGCCCGTTTCTGGAACACCAGCCTGAAATAGTGTCAATAACAAGTTCTTCAGTCTTAAGAACAGTCACAAGCTATTCAAACGAATAATGACCAGGGCATTCCTTTTCCCAGTTACTTACTTTAGACTTACTGTTATTCAATTCATGATAGGCTTGACTAAATCTAAAAACAGATACATATACTTTGAACCTCGAGCAAAACAGAGGCACAATTTAGAGACAACAAAGTCCTACTGTCTATTTTGTTGTTATTTAGAATGGAAAATGGGAAATGTTACAAAAATTAATTTATAGAGCAGTCCAATTTTTAGGACAACGGACTTTTGCAAGTGGCATGAAATTTATGCATGCCCGACCTCCTAAATGCTTCTGTGGAGAAACCCATTGAGTAAAGGAATAAATATTGAGAATTGTACCTCGTGGTCTCCGCCAACTCATACATGAGTTGCCTACACACCATCAGGAAATGTTGCGGGTTCAGTTCCTTCAAGATGTCTTGTAGCATGTCCACTCGACGCTTGTGCATCTTACAGCGTCGCTCCAAGTCCACCTCAAAGGATGCGAGCACTCTGAACAGAGCGCTGTGATCCTGTCAAGATGATATCGTAGTCAGAGAATAAATGCAGGGGAAATGTCCTTTGGAGGGTTCATTTTTGTCTGATGGAGACAGTCTTACTACAGGGAATGTTGCAGGGAAAGGTCGTCAGCCACTGCGAGGCTCATTTGAGGCTCGGCTAAACACAGAATTTCTTGCTTATTATCACCACTCTGTGCTTACAGCACTAGCAGAAAACATCCTGTGCCAACCCTGTAAGCACGGAATCCTTAGTTACAGGATTTACGCACTAACCAATGAAATATGCCAAAGCACAAAGTTTTCTGCTAAAGTAAGCAGGGATTTTTCACTAACAAACAAAATTTTAAAAAGGTAAGTATGAAAGCTTACTTAATTTAACACGACCGGTCACAATCATATAAAATTCAAAATCTCGGCCTAACTTTGTGGCTTTCTAACTGTAGGAGATTGCACAATTATAGTTAAGCATATTTCTTTGTTTGACTTTGAAAAAAATTGTAACAATGCACCTAGTCAATTTCCAATCGTGGTGTACATGTATATTTGAAAAAGACTACCTTCTAAGTTCTGTACAAAATATACTTACTCTAACAATCTCTATGTAGTCAGAAACATGGCCGTCCAATACGTAGTATTCTTTGGCTTCAAGTATCCACTTCTGTCCAGCTAGGAATATCTCACGAGCCTGAATGTAAAAAAGTTTTTATTCAATGACCGTTTACAACTTACAAAGGGAGAGTTACAAAGGGAAAGTTGGGGGAGACAACTGGGAGAGACATTTGAACCCATGACACTAAAGTACAGGACACTACGGATTTGTCCACGTTTAGAATGAAATGAGTTGTGACTAATGACTACATTACCTCATCAAATGTCACCACACATTTGTCCGTGACTTTGTTTTCCAACGACGTCAACTCCAGCCCTTCAAACTGCGATGCCAGTTTCTTCAGATTTTCGTCGTCTGTTTCGCAGTTTTCCCGTTCGGGGGATTCTTGCTTTATTGAGGGTTGCGATTCACTGTTTGAAGCACACTCATTCTGTTGTTGATTCTCTGTGTCCTGTGAACTATCGGTTCTCTGGTTTTCTAGACTGTCTCTGTGAAAGGAAACAAGCAAAGGAATTTATTCTCATTAAACACTCCAAGACAGACATCTGTTTATCTTGTGCTCTGTAAGTGTTCTTTTTAGCAGACACCAGACTACTGCATGGTTAGTATCAGAAACTACACTTTATTCTTTGCTTAATAACCCTAACCTTCCCTAATCCTCCCTAATCCTCTTAGCAAAATGGAGCATTTTGCAGGATTGAGGCTATATGGCAAAAATGTTTGACTGATTTTGGAGGATGCACTGTGTCAAGGTCTTAGGCTGGATCTTGTGTTGTTTATGCTCAGCTGTGCATAAATTTAGTCATTGATTATACTTGAAATCCTTCGCACTGTTCCAGGATGTCCCTGGCTCTACCTCAACACAGTGACAGCGATTGCTGGAGGATTTTGCAGGATAGAGGCAGTGGTCACCCCACCAAGGACCACATTTAAGAAATAACGGAGGATTTTGCAGGATTGAGGCTGTATGCAATTTTTACACAGAGGCAGTTGGAGGATCTTGCAGGAAGTATAAGCACATGGGTTCGAGTCCCACCAAAGTATGCGAAAGGAAAACCTGACAACGTAAAAGCCAGCTTACTTGGATAGGTTGAGTAGGGCCAGGCAGTATTTCAGCCAGCACCTTGCTATGTCCGCTTTGTGACGTTTGAGTTTGTCGATGTCATCATTGTACTGATCCTCTTCAGTTTCCACAGCTGGCAATTTCTCTAGTGCCTCGGCATAGATACGAGTTGCGCTCGCTTGGGTTTTAAAAAAGAACAGAAAATGTTATCTTAATTTTTTTTTTCTAAAACAAAACAGTTTTGGCACGTTTCAACAACTTCATTCTTAAGCTTTATTTATAGGCTGGCCCGGATGCAAGAAAAAAAGCTCTTAGTTCTTCAAAAGTTCTTGGTTCATCAACAGTTCTTAGTTCTTCAAAAGTTTTGTTCTTCTGAATTTCTTAGTTTTTCAAAACGTCTTAGTTCTTCTTAATTTCTAAATTCTCGAAGAAGTCTTATTTCTTCAAAATTATTGCTTCTTTATAAGAACCAAAGTACTTAGTTCTTATAAAGTTCTTGCTTATACAAAAAAGTTCTTAGTTCTTCAAAGTTTTAGTTCTTTGAAAGTTCACAGTTCTTTGAAAGTTTTAAGTTCTTCAAAAGTACTTGGTTCTTCCATAAAAGTCTAAGTTCTTAAAACAGTTCTTACCCAAACAGTGGCGCGCCTGTGTGTAGTCGTCCTGGGTGATGTAGTATTGCGACAGCGTTGCACAGTTCAAAGCCCAGTCCATTGGTTCATACTGATCGGTCTCGAGTTGACGCTTCAACGTCTCATGACAGTGGCTGGCAGACTGTAAATATTGAAGGAATAATGTGACATTTTCTTAAGAATTTGTCAGGTGCACCACAAAGTGATGAACAGGGAAGTTCCCACGCATCACTTTGGGTGTGACAGACAAATTGTCGACTGCTGTGATGTGGGACGACATTTTTCACACACTAGGGATGCATGACACTTCAGGCAGTGCATTCTTGAGGTTGCAAAAGCGGCACGTTTCAATTCACAGAAAATTGTTTTGGGAAAGATTTCCATATACAAAGTTCACTCAACACCCTGTGTACAAACCCTATGAGATTGGACTGAAAAATTCTAAGTGTTTTCTAAGAAAATGCTTGTATTTTCTCACTGCTGAAATTGACTTTAATGACATGAAATTGCTATCTGGGGGCTTGTTAGTCAATACAGAGGAAAATTAGTGAACTTCTTTTATGGAAATCTTTCCTTGTTTTGCTACATCAAATCAACACATAATCTCCGAACTAAAACCATCAGAAACATTTCTTCTTCACCTGCAGTTTGTATTGGAAACACTGGTTTGCGCAAACTTGGAGCACGAACAAGAATAGGCTAGCCAAGTGACGGTGCTCCTAGAGCGCACACAATACTATACGATTGGCTCAGAATGGCTATTGACTGGAAATCTGTTCATGCATCTGGTCTACACAATGGGCTTGATTTAGCCCACTCATTGGTGTCACGGGGTAAACCTATACGACAGCACTGCCCGACTCTCTTCAGCAGTCTACAACCAGCTAAGTCACAACTGTCAGTCTGTCAGTCGGATAGTCGGGGAGTCAGTCAGTCGGGCAGTCAGTCAGTCAGGCAGGCAGTGAGATAGGTACAAAAAGACAACACTAAAGCCAAAAAAAAAGTCTCCGGTTTCTGGTATGCGCGCGCAAAATGAAAAAGTTTTTTTTTCAATGAAAGATGATGTCTCAAAACCGCCAAACTCACTGGTTTGACTGGAATTCTGCTGCTGCGCAATTTCAACGTGTTTTTAGATGGGGTTATGGTCGAGAATAAGCTTTATGTGGCCTCTCTGGACTCCCATATGCTGCACTAAGTTTAGTCGGGCACCATTTTCAGTCATCAGCCGACATTTGAAGCAAAAAAGTCGGGTAAAAAAAAAAAAGCCGCGTCGCCGCACCACTTTTTGGACAAGCTCCATACCAGAAACCGGAGACTTTTTTTTTTGGCCTAAACTGGCCCCTGGTACCAGCACAATTACATGTACAGTAAAACACGATGTGGTCCCAAATTGTATGCTCCATGCTAGTGTTACCTTCTTGCTCTCTCCCAGATTACCGTACACCTGGGCTAGGTAGTACAGCGTGTGCGTGTAAGCTTTCTCAAATTTCTGCTGCCGTTGGTGGTCACTAAGTCTGTTTTCTTCTGCCACAAAAAGCCTGTTAAAATAACAGCAACAATTTTAAAGATTATTTTATTGTTCTTTTCACTCAAGATATAGTTATTAAATTGTTTGTACTCAGTGAATGTTATATGTTAGATGAAAACAAGTTTATGCTCAACAAACTTGATCAATTAAACATACATGTAAATGTGACTCTTATTCATCAAGTGTTCTGAGAATATTACACAATATGCGCAATTCCAACTTTGAATTTTTTTTTACTGTGACACTGCTGTTGCTATGGGAATGACTAATAAGCATCAAGAATCCGATTTTGAAAGTTCAGGGTTAACACATACTCATTCATTCCGAATGGCGCAACTCCGACTTCGTGCTTGTACTTCTTGTAAACACTCTCTGCTTCCTACCCAAATAAAAATAAATTATTCATGTATTAAGTCGTCAAAGTTGAACAATTACTGAGGATTGGCTTGTTATTGATCATGTGAGTTGACAACTGACTAGTGATTGATTTATAATTAACTTGTCATTAACTTGTTATTTGTAATGTGACTGACTTTGTGATGTGACATATGATCGACTTTTGCTTGATTTGTGATTCACTCATGAATGATTTGTGACTGGCTTATGATTGACTTGTGATTTGACATGTGAATGACATGTGATTGACTTCAGATTTGACTTGTGATTTGTAATGTGATTTGACATGTGATTGACAGGTGATTAACTTCAGATTTGACTTGTGATTTGTAATGTGATTGACTTATGATTGACATATGATCGACTTGTGATTGACTTGTGATTTGGCATATGATCGATTTGTCATTAACTTGTGATAGTCTTGCGATTGACTTGTGATTTGATTGTGATCAGCATGGGATTGACTTGTGATTTGATTGTGATCAGCATGTGATTGACTTGTGATTTGGCATATGATCGATTTGTCATTGACTTGTGCGAACTTACAATTGACTTGTGATTTGATTGTGATCAGCATGTGATTGACTTGTGATTTGATTGTGATCAGCATGTGATTGACTTGTGATTTGATTGTGATCAGCATGTGATTGACTTGTGATTTGATTGTGATCAGCATATGATTGACTTGTGATTTGATTGTGATCAGCATGTGATTGACTTGTGATTTGATTGTGATCTGACAAGCGATCGACACAGATCTCCTCACCAGCAACAACTCCAGCGCCTTCTCTGACTCCCTCCTGCCACTCCACAGGATCCCCAGCTGATTGAGAGTAGCCACAGCCAGCGAGACCGCCCGGCTATCCAGGCAGTGTGGCTCCAACATCTTGCGGCAGGCCATCAGGTAGTCCTCCCCGGACGACGTCTCTTCGGTGTCCACAAAATTCAGGCCCAGCAAGTAGCGCAAGCAGGCTAGCATGACATGCAGGTCTGGGGAACACAAACAAGAACAGCAAGAATATGGAGAGAATTTAAAAAACATATCGCAAGAACATTTTTGCACATTAAGCAATGCGTGAAACAGACACGTTCAATATTTTGTTGGATACGGATTTGGAAAATAGGATACCAAACAAAAGTTTAATTTCTGGGGAAATTTGGAACTTATATTTCAGAAACTTTTTACAAACAAACCCAACCTCTCCCTATTAACATATCTGTTTTAGGAATTTGGTTGGTTGCATTGCTCTATGTAATATCAATAGCTTTTTGTCTTGCCATGTATTGTAATGGTGAGATTTCAAAGGAGCTCATTAATTCGAGCTTTCCAGCACCTCAGCCACAGACATACAAAGGTACAATTGGAGTCAGCCAACAATAAATGTAGAGTTCTTGATGGAATTTGTTCCTTGTTGTTTACCCGTGTCCTGTGGGGCCTGTTGGTCAGTTTGAATTCCATAGTATTTCTCCAGTTTAGCACGCAGATCTTGAAGAATTTCCCTGGCCGCATACTTGGACTTGAAAGGGTTGGTTTCTGGGTCATTTTTAGAATCCTGAAATATGCAAAATTAGAAAAATAAACCTCTATCGCAAAAATGATTCTTTCTACCAATTCCTTTCCCTCATCCACACATCCACTTCCAATCAAGATCATAGTCATAATCAAGAAAGAACATAGTAAAAAGAATGTACAAAGCTAGCCTACAAACAACATCAGAAAAACTATTTCTTCATATCAAATTTGATTAGGCCTAAGGTAAAAGAAGGGAAAAAAGTGACATTAGCTGACGTCATCAGGAAACTGCATACAGGCCACAAACCATTTCACCGATGTCGCCAACTAGTTTGATAACTCAAATAAATTAAAAGTGAATTTTGTTCTCAAGTATATAGGGAACCGGGCCAGTAACTACACGATCGCCCAATGCTTTGCCATGGTAATGTTTGTCAATGTTTGTCATGATGATGTTTGTCTTTCACAATCACATTTCACCATCATGTTGACGTCTGGCACTTTAAAGTTTTGGCACTTTTAACCATTCCTTTACGACCACTCCTTCAACGTAATTACACACTTTTTCGCAAACTTGTTACTCGGTACCAAATCATCACTTTCCCCCACATCAGAGAATACAGACCTCCTCCGAAAGCCTTCTCGCCTCTTCGAATTTCGAGAAACCTTCATCTGTCAAAAAGTCACTGTACGCCGCCATTACTGTTAAGTTACCTGGTATCCGGCCAGAAAAATCAATTACACGTAAACGGGTGGCAGGGCGTATGTAAGTTACCAGCTAAAACTTACTCCATTCATTTTCGTGTATAGCGCCCTCTGAAGACAGAGTTTTTACAAAACCGGGGAAATAGACCTTATCGTAGCATCCATCTTAGAGGGCAATGCCTTTGTTTTGACTGGGATATGCATGAACACACCTTGTGAGCATTTGTTGGTAATGAATTCAAATAATAAAAGATGCCCTGTAAGATGGCCGCTGCGCAATAAGGTCTGTTACGAGAAGCTTTATAGGTGCCCAGAACAGAGGGATTTTTTGGAAGATCGAATTTCTTTTTTCCAACCAAATTACGATGATGCGTGAACTCAATTTTTTTCTTAATTGTTGTTGCCACAGTGGCCTCAAAGCATTTCTGTGAGCTTGTGTTTGGATTAAAAAAAGTTTCAATTGCTATCTTCCTGTCGATAGAAAAAAAGTTATTCATCTTTGCATGACACATCGAACTATTAAACAAAAATCCAAAGACGTATAGTTATTTGATTATTTCTTCACAAAATTCAAATTATTGGCTGCCAGACAATTTACTCGGGTATCGCATATTATACACGCAGGGCGCGTTCATTTGTACGCAAAATTGACGCCCTTTTTCAAATGGTTGCAGTCTAGACCCCCCCCCCCCTAAAAATTGGACTATTTCTAAGTGGATTTTTTCGTTACAACAAAAAATACAAATTGAAAAGGAGAAAATAATCCATTATTTGAAGAGCACCGGGAACATGTACAAATCTTTTAATGGACCTAAAACGATCGCTCTAATTTGCAATGAAGAATAGAGTTTTCAAAAAATCGCAATATTGTATAATTTATGATGGCTTTGGAAGGACATATACCGCGGCGAAAATAGAGCGTGGCAGTAAATAGAGCGTGTCAGTGAATAGGCCCGAATTACCTTAAAAAAGTTCGCCGGCCAAATCACGATTTGTATACCCTCACTTTTTCTGGGCCATGAACCGGTTTGTAAAAAAAAGAGGGTGGGAGCCATGAACCGGAACGCGAGCTCGTATTTCTGTAAAAATGTGGTGAAATTGGGCTCTAAAATTGCTATTTTTGCAATGGAGCGCATAGGCACGTTTTCAAAATGGCAATGGAGCGTAGGCATCTTTTTCAAAAAAGCGATGGATTTCAGAACTACTGTTAGGGGTCAAGGGTGGATCCAGGGTGGGGGCAATGGGGACCACCCCCCCCCCCCCAAAAAAAAAAACCACCGAAACCATTTTTTTTTTTAAGTGACGTCGCAATAAAGGCAGGCACTGCCGTACACCACCATCTTTTCCTGAAAAAAAAATGGTTAAAGTGGTCAGAAATTGCCTCAGATCCCACCACAGACCATCTAGAATCCAAAACAATTTCGGGGCCCTTAAGCGGGCCCCGAACTCCACGCCGTAATTTTTTGCCCCATGGTGTTCTGGATCCGCCGTTGCTATGGGGTGATGCTCTTTGGATTGAATTTTCTCCTAATGGTCATCGGTGAACCAAAAAAAAACAATTAGCCTGCAGGAAATAAAGGACGATGAAATACTATTTTATTGGTATTTCTATTTTGTTCTGATAGCATTTTTAATTGATAGCATTCTTAATTTAGTATTTTTAATTTGATGTGTGTCTCAAACACCTTGGAGGATTGTGAGTATTTTTCATGAATTTTAGAAGTGGGGGGGGGGGGGGGTAGCACTGGGAGTCTATGGACTATGGTAGCTTATATTTTCTGCAACTTTAGTTTCATCTCGAGTCATCTGATCTCAAAGTTTGCTCCAGTTGTTATCAGTGTTCATTTGAATGTCCTCTAAATCGACGAAAAGAACATAACAGACACCAAAGTCGACAAAACTTGTCTTCATGCACAAGTAAATAAGTTGTCATAAACACCAGTGATAATTTCCCCCCTCCCCGGCCCCCCAAAAAGGGGAAACACTGACACCTTATGTGTTGCAAGAAACACATCGATTGATATTAAACTGATTTATCTATTTCTAATTATTTTGTTTGGTTCATTTTAATTAGTAATGTTTTTGGGGGGCAACGGGGGCCACGCCCTCCCCCAAAAAAGAACAATTTTTTTCTGTTTAGTAATGTCACAAAAAAGGCAGCCAATTGCGTACACCACCCACAAAACTCAACAAAAGCAACACATTTGCACCCCTTCCCCTTGCTTTTCATATTAAATTTGGGGCGGGCAATTTTTATTTGTGGACCCACTTTTTCGGGAGAAAAACATTTTTTGGCCCCCCCCCAAAAAAAATTGTGTTCCGGATCCGGCCTTGGGGGAAAGGGGGGGGGGGGGAATGGGTTAAACATCCCCAAAATGCCCTCAAACAGAAACGTTTTTATTACATTATTTTACGCGTATTAACAGGCACGTCGTGAAGTTTGGAAAATTACATTTAGAAAGAAAGCCAATTTCCTCTAACCGAATTCTTTATGTAGGAAAATCGGAGGACATTAATGGAATTAATTATTTATTCAAATCTATAAGTAATTTATATTAATTAGTTTATTTATATTAATTAGTTAATTATTAGTAATTCATTTCATAATAGACTATAGTTGTACATCCTCCAGCCAGTTAATCTAACGGGAGGCGGCCAACATTTAAAACTACAAAATTCTGCATTCTTTTCAAGCAATTATGTTAAGCAGAACGAGATGTAAAACTTGTAAAAGTTGCGTTTGTATTGAAAAAAAAGTTCAAAATGGGTGCAACTAGGAGGGCTGATGCTCCGCAGACGAAATGCAGCTGCTCTCTCACGATCTTCAGGCTCCAAACGCACTCCATCTGCGAAGCAATCAACATTTACATTACAATATCACGTTATTTATATTGAAATTAGCTAATTTACATATCTCCATAAATTGATTAATAATTAATCCTGCACCCAACTACGACTATAGACCTACGAGTGCTGGATTCGAACCCATGGTGGTGACCTGATGGGCTTGCCACTGCCCTGGTCTTGTACTGATATAAACAATCGGGCCTTATAAATCCGACACACCCCTCAATGCCCTCATTTCGAAATTTGGCTGAAAAACAGCAACAACTGCAATTCAATACCTTCATATTGCTGTGCGGAAACATTCTCGCTACTGAAAACAACAATTTTCTGAATTAAAAATGATAAAGATAATTTTGTTGTTGTTGCGCAATACAAGTCAAAATGTTAACAATGATCGCAAGAATCAACTATTGACGAATCGGAAGTACGGGTTTAATTTGCCGTAATCCGAACGATGTTTTGATATTTAAGGATCCAGATTTGTGGTCGAATGAAACTTGACATCAGTTGTAAATAAGCGTCAAATTTAATTTTGTGAACATGGATGTTCTCTCGAACAATCACGAGAAATCCCGTCTATGGAAACGTGATTTCAGAATATAAATTTTCGAACAATTTCTTCAAAGTTTGCACATTTAAAATTGTAATCGTACATTTCAGGCTTTGGATATTTAATTAAATCCAAGAATTGTGTTAAATTTTCAATCCAAACATAATCTCGTGCCAACACGAAATCTCGGAATGTATAGGCCCGAAATTGCCTACGCCGGCCAAATCACGATTTGTATGCCCTCGCTGATTTTTCTGGCGGCCATGAACTTAAGGGTTTGTAATAAAAAAAAAAAAAAGGAAAAAAAAGAAAAAGTGGAAGCCGTGACTAGGACTGCGAGCTCGTATTTCTGTGAAATTCGGATGGAATTGGGCTCTAAAAGTTCTATTGGAGTTCAAAATGAAAATGGGCTTCAGGACTACTTCTAGGGGTCGCAGTATCCTCTTTGGATTGAATTTTCTCCCAAAAGTCATTGGTGAACGTCCAAAAAATGAATAGAAAATGAAGGATGATGAAATACTATTATATTAGTATTTTTAATTTAGTTTTTTTTTTAATTTGATGTACAGGTTCAAACATCTTTGAGAGTTGTGAGTATTTTTCATGAATTTTGGAAGTGTGGGGTCTATCAGTAAGCCGAGTCATTAGACTTTTTTTCACGAATCGGCCATATTAAATTGAAAGCGAGGTAATTTTTTTTTGTTGGAAACTTGCGAATAGAAATTTAAGCAATGACATAAAGTTAATTAAAAACCAGTCTGCTCTGATGAATAATTTCAAATTTGTGAGTGACCCTAATGTTTTAAGCCAAATTTATAAGTAACTTGAAAGTGAGGCTTGGAACGCATAAATAGTCTGGCACCATCTCATTCAAAAGTTTACCGTTTGTAAAATACATTCAGGGAACACGATCAAAAATAGCTTCCTCGTGATCTTAACCAGTTCACGCCGGGATTATTTTGACAAGAACGGAACGAGGTGCGGCATTACTCTTCACTCTACCTCAAGCCAGGCGGGTTGAAGCCATCACCCTCGGGCAGCACACTCATATTTCCGGCCTCGCTCGCTGCGAGCGGGTCGCTGATACCGCAAAACCTTTGCGGGTATACACGTCATCCGGCGCGAACTGGCTTTAATTACCCCGGAAGTCACGACGCCTAGCAACATACTAATGCTAAAATTATTTGAAATGGATGTTTGAAATTATTTAGCAGAGAGAAGGCAGCTTTCCGTATTCCGTTATAAATCACAATTTAAGTGCAACACAAAGGGAAACGGACAAGATAACTTTCAATAAATACACGGGATGGGCATGAACATTGACCCAAGCAGGATTTGAACCAGCGACCTACTGAAACACGGGCGGCACTCGGGGCTTACGTTGAAGCCTCCATTGAACCTTAATAGAATAATTATCGCAATGAAGTAACATGTTCAGGTCCATCACTGGCCCTTTGAAGTAAGATAACAGCTGAACTCTCATTTCGTTTGTTTGTTGCTTGCTGTTTGTTTGTTTGTTCCTGTTTGTTTGTTGCTTGCGTTATAAGCCTGTTGTTTGTGTTTGACAAACCAAATCAAACGCGTGTTTCAAATAAGTGGATATCCTTCCAAAAATATAGAGGTTGCCGTGCAGTTTTGAAGTTAAAACTTGGTGTCTGTTTCTTTCATACGATGCAAACTTTAAATCAAGTTGATTTTTATTCAAAATTAGTTCCCAGAATTACACGTGCTTTTCAATATTATTAGTTTTGAGCATGCATTGTGTAAGCGTCAATAGACCATCCAAACTTCACAGTGAAAACTTTTTTTAAGGCCCCCGGCACGCAGGACACCGGGTAGCGATAAAGTTTTAATTTTTTTTCTGCCCTTGGTGACTGAATTGTTAAACCCGGGAAATTAGTTGACACACGTCAACCAATTGAATACTTCCGAAGTTATCTTGCCGCCAAAAATAGTACAGGGTCAAGATGTGGGGAAGCCCTTTTTTGCACGGGCGAACTTCAACCGATTGGGGGCCTTCCGATCCTACTACCCGCAACATGTACCCGTTTGGTGTGTGGAGGTTGATGAGTAAAACGGTAGAAAGCATAGCAGGTGGATGGAATACGTTGAATGCGCTTTGCGCATATGCTGCGTAGGGCACGTACAAAAATATGCCTCTCGTGCGCTACATTATGGAAAGTGCCATCCCATAATGATATTTTTGGCTGTTCCGAAAACCGATCACCCCGAAAGCGTTGCCCATATTTGCGCTTTTTTGCGCTTATCGGCGAACGTTCGAAAAGAAAAAGTGAATTGAATATTAAATTTGATAAACGATGTTTTTTTCTTTTAAGTTTTATGGAATAAAAAGAGGATTTGATAACAATTTTTTTGAAAAATGTTGTTCTGTCCAGAGGGATAAAAATCTAGTCCGAACACTGCCACCATGGCTTGATTTGCAGTCAGAATTCAGCCTACACGTCCAAGCAGTTTCTTGTTACGATGAACTCTACTGCAGGGTCAACTATTTACATAATTTCTGCACGCGCTCATTGGTACGTTGTAGTCTGGCCAATCAGGATTCGTACAGGGATATAGAAAAATCCGTCGCCGCGCACAATGACCAATGAAAACGGAGAAACCTAGAGGTCGTTGCTGATTGTCACGCATACAGTCAGGTGTCCAGTCTAGGTAGGAATCTTGCTCGTTTCCCATCTTACACCACACCCAGCGTTGTAGGTCCCCTTTCGACTCTCCTGGCTGCAGATTCGTACAGGAATTACTAGTTTATTCAGGGAACTACATCGGACAAACGGGGCCAATTCGGGATCCCCGATTTGCTATAATTTCTGGGGAACGCTACGGCTTGAGAATTGCCTCTAGTTGTGGGTGCTAGGAGTGTAAAATCTGCGTTTTTCCGCGCTGGTCACAATCCCCACAGCAACTGAATTGCAGCCTGGCCGGCATAGACCCCATTCAACATGGCTTGTTGTTTGAGCGAAGAAGCTAAAGAAGCCAAGAGAATCAACCAAGAAATTGAGAAACAGCTACGCAAAGATAAACGCGATGCGCGTCGAGAGCTCAAGCTACTTCTTCTTGGTAAGTTGGAGAAAAAATGGAAAAAATATGGGAGTGGTGCGAGCCTGATTTGAAGGGGAATTATTCCTCGTTTGATGCGGGAAAAAAAACTGTGCTGTGTAGTTTGTCTGTGTACGGGCGTGAAAGCTTACGGGCTTGTTATGCTAATGTTGACATGTTCGAGCCGTCAGCCATACCCTTCTGTGGTGATGTGACGAGGAAATTGCGAGATTTGTGTGTGGAAAGAGGGCATCGTGGAGCGAAAATACCACCAACATTTCCACCAGATGCCTTCAAATGAGATGCTGTGGCAGTCTACCGAGGTCCTTGGATGATATCTGTAAATGGAGATGGGGAATCATCTGATGTCTGCTCAGGCATGTCAGATCAGGGAGATGGGCCCACACGGTCATCATTTAAACCGAAATGGAGGACACAAGCAAGATGCCCCAAATGTGATGTGATGGGATCCACATTTCATACAGGAGTACATCAAGTGACCATGAAAAATATGATCCAACAAAAATAAGACTTTAAGAAAATAAAGGAAGCCGGAAACTTTTAAAAATGCATTGCTTTTTATTTTACTACTCAAAACCAATTTATCCTAGCCCAATTTTATTGAGTCAATCATAATAAACCAACCTTCAATACAACAAACATTGTTAGAATCAAAACACTTATTTTCAGCTTAAACTAATGTAGGCAAACAAAAATCGGTTTTAAAAAGTATCAGATTTGTCAACCCTGTTTCTGTTAGGGAACCAACGGATATATCCTTGTAAAAGTTGTATTACTGTAACATGAACAATGGTTTTGTAGTACAAATAAAACACCAATAGAGGAACATATCGTGTTTGTTTTGATTGATGAGTTAATTTGATGAGTTTGTGTAATTATAAACATAGATATCCCCCTGTGGCCCAAGTGGTGACATTTTTTTGCGTGTGCTGTAAATGCTTGGAAAAATTTGTTCACAAAATTACTGTGAAAGGTGTGGTGTGCTGTGTGCAGTTTGCCATTTTGGGAATGGGAATGTGTGATTCTAAATAGCGCTTCCTTTACTTGAAAAGAAAGCTGGAGTTTGTGTAACCATGGTAACATTTTTGGTTTGGAAGACGTGGCAACAACAGTTTGCATGTTGAATTCCACGTGTACATGTATAATCACATGATACATGTACATTGCATGTGTTCATGTTATCAGAAATACATGTGCATACCTGTACATGAAGGAATTCAGTGTTGTGCAGTGTTGAAGCTGAAAATGTGCATATAAATTTGTGCATGTGCATGCATTTTGGAGTTAATCATGGGTTTGTTGAATTTGCACCAATATATCCCATTCCCATGATCATCCAACGTTCTTGCATACATTTTTCATAATTTTCAAAACCTAGATGGCAGGCCCAATGCACATTGTGTGTCATTTGGATCTGCTGTTCATTATACATGTAGGTGTACATACACACGTTTAATGCACTACCGCGTACTCCCATACCCATGAAAAAGAAAGTCTTTCGAGTAAGAAAATTTACCCTTCCCTTATTGCCAAGTATTGCCATTTTCCTGACATCTGTTTGTGATTGTATATGATTGGCTGAGCAGTAACATTAAAGCAACATTATCTGTGAATCATCCTGATTCACAGATTAACCCCCTACCCCCTAGGTCCTTTTTGCTAGGAACCATACTCAATCCTCCTCAATCCTCCAAAATGTTGCACTTATGTTGAAATGAAGGATACCCAGTGCCTCAATCCTTCAAAATTGTCGGACAGTCCTGCCTCTCAAAATGCTTTTATCCTCAATCCTCCAAAATCATCCTCTTCAAACATTCATCCTCAATCCTCCAAAATCCTCATGTGCTTCAATACCATTCATCCTCAATCCTCCAAAATCCTCATGTGCTTCAATACCAATCATCCTCAATCCTCCAACATCCTCATGTGCTTCAACACCATTCATCCTCAATCCTCCAAAATCCTTATGTGCTTCAACACCATTCATCCTCCATTCTCCAACATCCTCATGTTTCTCAAATCGTCCTCAATCCTCCTAAACCGCCAGGAGGATTTTGGAGGATTGAGGACGGTTAGGGTTAATTAATATTGCTTTTATACATGTTGGTTACAAATCATGTGGACAGTTGTTTTGCAAACATTGTTTGTTCATCAACTTGGAATCATTAATTGTCGAGTGACATTTTTTTTTAAGTTGATGATAATTCTTCAGAACATGTAATGTACGTGTACATGTACAAATGTATACAATGTGGAAATCATAAGGTCAAACACACACATCACTTGGCCGAGTCTATAATTTTACTACTATTAGCTACTCTTGGATCAGTTTGGATGGGATGTATGTACATGGAAGCAATTTTCTAGAGTTATGTACAGGATCAGAAAAAATAAATTGATATTGATTTCATTACTGTGATAAAAACTTGAATGTTCAAAGGATCTGCAGAGTTGTAATACAATGGATTAGGGAATAAAGCAGTAATGAACTATTTCTGGTGTGCTTAATCTGGTTTTAAAGATTTGGTTGAAAAATTTGTTGCCAGGTTTACTATAAAAAGAATGAGTTGCCCAATTGTAAAAACTCTCATATTTTTAAAGGCCCAATATTGTACTTGATGTGGGGCTCTGGTGTTAACACTAATCCACCTTCAAAGGATGCACTGTACATGTACATGGCTGAGCCAAGGTGCATTAAAAATGGATACAAAAGCTTGATTGCTGTTTTCCCATGGATTACCAAAACCATGAATGTTTAAAGATGTACTGAATTGAAATCACTCATCAAATGATTGAAGCGTGTGTGTACTGCTTATTTAATTATATGGGTTGTCACAGTGAGTATGGTGTGTTTTCTCTTACTGAATCTTTCAATAAGTGTTTTTAGATGATGTTTTTCCTGATAATCTTGTTACTTTACTTGTTCCGTTATGACAATATGCAAGTTACACGTTTTTGACTGTTTTTGGTAGAATGGCAATGTTGTACTCATGCAAACTGTCAACAAATTAGGGATCGTAATATGTGATTTTTCTAAAGAGTACATGTACTTGCAGTGCCAGTCATGTTTTTTCTTAGATCAGACTGGATGGATAAAGAACTAGATAAAGAACTAATTGAGAGAAGCTTCTGGTACAGGTACTTGCATTTGATAACTTCATATAATATGTCTTTATCTTTAATCACAAAAAATAATGCAGATTTTGCAGATTTTCCCCCGCTTTAAAAAGCTTTCAGTTGGCCCATCCTTGGTGTAGAAGCATACATGTACTGCATGACATTGGCAAATCTGTCAAATATTTTTGTACCAACACATGAGAAAATAAACATATTTTAACCAATGTCTGTCTAAACTACCAGGTTTAGAGATGACTGTGTGCTATTCCTTTTTTTTTTTTCAAATTAAAATTGTTTATTTTTTCTAGCAATTAAAAAGAAATACATCCAATGTACAATTATGCTTTTGGAATAAACACTTCACAATCTTCAAATTACTTGCGGCCCAACACCAATTCAGTTCTTGAAGGCGAGACTAGTTTCCAGCCTCCCACAGACACATTTGATAATGTAGGCGATGGGAAACAGTCTACATGAAGAGTAGATCAAATTGCGCCCAATAGTAAGCTAAAATCAAAGCTTTCATGAGGGTAAAAATGGCCCCAAATAAAGAAGATAAACATGCAACTTGAACATTTTCAAGAGGAAAAAAAAATTGAATTTGTTGAAGAGAATGGACAGTACAATACATCTGTAATTCCTGTCTTGGGCCATAACATTTCTATTCTAACAGAAAAATGATTTTGCAGTTTCTCTAAATAATTAACGAACCTGCAGTTCTGTTAATATGTTTGGCAGAAAACAAATCTTTCACCAATTTCAAGTGACATTGATTAGAGGTCACACATAATTGACCTATCGCCGTTTGGGAGTTAGCCACGCCCCTTAGACAAACCTATGTAATTTTTGTACACTAAGTTTTGTTTGTTTTAGATTTTGCATGTTCCGCATCCACTTGTATATCGTTTAATTGGACAATATTTCACAAGCTGCGTTGACGCGATTCTAACGTGATTGTACCGCGATAAGTCAATTGAGGCGAAAGCTGGGTAATCAATTTTTCTCTCACTTTTTGTGAAGCATGTAGGGTTTTACACATTTTTGGCTTCAGTCGTCAAACCTTTTCCAGGATAACCAGCATATGTAACAAAATGCGTATTTAAATTGTGACCGCAGTGAATTTTGCTCAACCCACACTTCTTAATTTTGATGGTACACAGTACATGTACAATTTTTACACCATGTTAATTTATGTAAACCCCTTTAAGCACGCTGTACTGTATGCGCACACAGGCACATGTACATTTATGTACAACCCCTTTGTGTGTCTGCCTGTATATGCAGCCCTACACAATGTACATCAAAATAAATTGCACATACCGGTATGGCGGTATGAACTGTGCATAGTTATTACACTTTCGTGCCACGGTAATGTTCTGCAAGCCACATGCTTAGAGTGTACACATGCATGGTGCACATGTAGTCCTGCAGGCTTTTGGAGAAAATAATTTTTGCCTGTACACTAATTAGTATGTTATGAACATGGAGGTCTTATTACATGTATTCATGTAGGTTAATGTTGGTTGATCACATTCACTGGAAGTATAACTGAGCTTAATGTTTTCCCGCAAGTGTTGTGCGCTATATAAGACTCCGATTTTATAATAAATAAACCTAAGTTATTATGCAGTACGTGAAGAACAAATGACATTGTAAATATGTCAGCCCATGGGTTGAGCTGCATTTTCACATCACCTGTATCATATTTGCACACCCACAGTTATGGACATTAAATGCTTTTTTTTTTTTTGGTTTCACGTCTGTAGCTTTGTACATGTTCATGTTGTAAGGGCAAGGTCAATAAATTTCTCCCTAGATGGGAATGCATCACACACCTACATCATTTCACTGTCTGCTGTAGCTATTAAAAGAATCTGAAATTT